ATGCGAGCCATCAGCTGCACAAACTGGGAGCCGACAAACAAACACTTATTAGTATATACAAAACTCTGATACAGTCTAGACTGGACTATGCTGCTCGGTCCTCCACTCTATCTCCCCAACCAACCTCCAAAACTCAATTCAATACAGTATAAAGCCCTTTAAACAAGCCCTAGGCACTAGGACTGGTACCTCCCACAACACTCTTCTTCTCCTACTCACAGGCATCCCTTCAATCAAAACACGAATAAATCAAACGCGCTCACTCAATTACTGGGCTGGGGCCCAACACAGCCCAATCTACAAACTTATCACAACTAAATACACAAACATTAAAAATCCACTATCAAAATTTAAAACAACCCAAACAAAGCCCCCTACTCACTCACCTCAACAGTCTGCTTCACTCCACACCACCTAAACACCATCCAACACACACCTCCCATAACAAGCTACATTCATGACAAACCCCCACCCCTACAGATATCACCCTAGTAGAAACACTCCAAAATCTCCCTAAATCCACAGGCACTCAAACCAAAACAAACCTCATCCAAACCCACATCAACCTAAATTATCCCAACCATACCCAGATATATACAGACGCCTCAATCGGCTGGAAACAAGCGCATAGGCATAGGCATCCATGTAAACCAAACACCCCCTAACAACAAACCTCCACTATACAAACCACACAAACATTAACACAGCAGAACTCACAGCAATTCTAACAGCACTTCACCTCATCCCCACTATGCCCCACACCAACATCTTATTACTTACAGACTCTCTCAGCGCCGTCAAACAACTTCAACACAAGCACTCAAAAGCACGTAACGACTTAATACACAACATAATTATACAAACCGAGTCACTCCAACAACTAAATAAAAACATAACATTAATGTGGATTCCAGCTCATACACACAACCAAGGAAATAACACAGCAGACATAGCAGCCAAACTAGCCACCACACAATTTCACACATCCAAAACCGAAATAAAACAACTCATCAAACACCACATAATCAACCAAAACTACCAACACAACCTTAACACAAATAAATCCACCTGGGTCAAAGCAATCATAACTAAACCTATCACCAAAACACTCACCTACTCAAGCAACAAACACATGGACACACTCATCACAAGATTAATCACTGGCATCACAAACCTAAATCATCCATTATTCAAACAAAACAGACACCCAGATGGATTATGTACTCATTGCAATCAACCTGAAACCATCGAACACATATTCACACACTGCCACCTCCAACAAACAAACATCACACAACTACACACCAGCATTCCAACTAAATATCACAACAACATACAGCTACTTTTAAATCCTTTTAACCCGTCAAATATATTTCATGCCATAGCCACCTTTATCCAAAACTCAAATTTAATAAATAAAATTTAGAACCTCCCAAACAATCCCCATCATACTACCTCCCAATAGCCTATATATTTAGACCAGGCACCCAAATTTCACTTCTCTATACTTAAACTCTATCACCAACATAAGCCTGCTCATTTAGACCTGGGAAACCAAATCATCTATTTACAGTTGTCTTATTTCTGCTAAAAGGTCCGCGCCTCTCCCAGCCAATCAGCAACCACTAATACGTAAACAAACCTAGCTCCAGCCCTCGTGTACAAAGGTCACGACCCTCAATCCAAGCCAGCTCGCCAGCAGTCCCAATACCACCCACACGGCCTTTGCCTTATCGTCTCCTCACCCCCACCCCCACCCCCACCCGTTACAACCCTTTTTCTTTCTTTACTAGGTCCCATTTTATTAAAATAAGTACAGCCTAACTGTACCACCATAACATATCCCCAACATGCTATACACTTATTTTATACTCACCTCCACCCCCACCCCAACCCCCCCCCTCACCCATTTTAACTATCCTATATTTATTCCAACTCCTCTTATTATTAACAACTGCTTTATTTTTCTCTCTCTTTATAATTTCGGCTTTTTATTTTATTTATATTATATTTTTAACTACTTTTATTCTAAAACTACCTAAGTTTAATCTCCCATAATTTACATTTTTTTGGGTATGGTGGTTTATCCCTATTACTACATTATTAATTAATTTATATATCAACCCCACCTACCCCGTCGGCGACATTGGCCACGCTAAAAGCCGACGTAAAACCTCAAATTTCGTTCGTTCGTTCAACAATTAGGTGGGAGTGTTCCCAACGGAAACCGCTGTCTTGCAAGGGTCCAGTGACCACAGACATGGAAGTGAAGAATGAAGTACAGAGAGAGAGAGAGATAATGTTTATTTGAGTCTCACTTTCTGTACATTGTCATAGAATGCATGCGTTTTGTACAAAAGTTAATAGAACAGAAACCACCTGTTAGGTTATGGGAGACTATATTAAATCAATAAAAACATTGTGAACCAACAAATATCAGCACCCGTATAATCGTATACATTTGAAGTTAACACGTACAGGTATGCATACATACATAACATATATACAGCAAACATACATACAAACAAACATATAATCACATATACAAAACAGCATACAACCGCACATAATATACGCATACACGCATACATACATACATACACACATACATACAGACCTAATACACGTATACACACATCCACACACATACACGCATGCATGCACACACACACCCAATATACGACACGCGCACGCACACACATACATACATACATACACACATATATACATACATACACACACATAAATATACATGTATTATAATCATACATTCAATACTAACATATACTAGTATGCAGAATACAGATACCCTACACACAATATCATTAACATAATATAAACAATACAATGAAGTACAATATAGTTACGTACATTCGTACTGCTGTTACAATGCCTAACATTCATACACCATGTGTTGCATTCATCTAGTGTTAATGAATGAAAGAGTAGGATATTAATACATTTAAAATTTAAGATACAAGTAGTGTATAATATTTAAGATAAAGATTGACGTCGTTTATACATGTTTATAACAGTACAGACAACCGACCACTGCCACACCCCAGACCCCAGCGTTACCATGGCCCTCAAGATGCGGTCAGAGATGAAGCAGAAGGCCAGTACATCCCGAGAGACACCAAACCAGGTTCTTCTAGACTCGCTACTTCCCATCCAGTAGAAGTTAGTGCAGCTTTAGGTGAAAGTGATTCCATAAAACGTGATCTCCGACGTCACAGAGCCAAGCAGTTTCCTGCTAATCCTACAACACTTGCAGACTTGAAAATTGAAGGTGAGTTAAACTTTTATGTTGTATATCATAATGTATGTAAAATTAAATGCTTCTCCCCAAAAATCACACTACTCGGTATATACATATCCTCCTCATCTTAAATCTCATTTTTAATTTATAAAATTTAAATTATATTTTAATCCTTTTCATTTTAGGTGACTGTGCATCCGTGTCTGACGATACAGACAAGCCGTTCCTGATATATGACCACAAACAAGATCCCAACCGTGTCATCGTCTTTGCCTCCACCACCACCCTGCAACACCTGGCGTCAGCAGACACCTGGTTTATGGACGGTACCTTCGATGCTGCTCCCAGTGCTGTTAGTTGTGTGTATGCCCTCCTGTGGTTGTTTTTGTTATCCATTATGAATGACTGATATGAATAAAATTCATTTCTGTGACTAAACATGTCATTAGTTGTTTTTTTCTTAGGGTGGAATTTATTAGGGTGGATTTTGTCCTAGGTTGCAATTTTGGGGTGGATTTTGTCCAGGTGGATTTTGTCCTGGATTCGCATATATGTCAGTAAAATTGTTTCAATTTAAAGACAATATAACATACTTATGACAGTTATGAAGGAATTATTTTCAGAGTTGTGAGAAACAGTTTGAAACACCCTACCCTTAACAATATGCTGTGCAAGCCTGAGATGAAACAGGGGTTTATAATCAATTGGTGAAAAATTACAACAGTATGAGTTAAAAGCAGATATTAAAAGGAGCCATTTTCTGTACGGCACAAAGGCAAGTATATACCAAAACATGTTTCATATTGTAGCATCATATAACATTTCTAATTATAAACAAACCTAAATGAATGAGTTAATATAGATAATATTTGGAATTATTCCATTATCAATATAAAAGGTATCAATGTTTAATCTTTAGGATCAATTTGTTTGAAGATGATTATCCAAGATATTTTGCATAGATAATAATCCAATGACAAGGCCAGTCTGATGAACAACAGAGTAGCCCTTTAAGTATGGTGGATGTGTAGTGACTGGTGTATAGAACTTTGCTCACAGCAACTTTGCCCACAAGGAACTGCCCACCATAATTTTTACAGAGGACTGACTGACTGAGTTTGGTTTTACGCTGCTTTTAGCAATATTCCCGCAACATCACGGCGGGGAACACCAGAAATGGGCTTCACACATTGTACCAATGTGGGGATTTGAACCCGGGTCTTCAGCACGACAAGCCAACGCTTTAACCACTAGACTACCCCACCCGCCCCTTTTACAGAGGAGGAACTTTGCCCACCATGATAATACAACATTGTATAAAATAAGTATGTATTATTTTATTGAACTACACAGAAACAGCATATAATATAGCACATTGGTGGAGTAAAAAATCCAACATATTCTGAGCAGGATATTAAGGTGGGTCAGTGGCAAGGTAAGAATTAATGGTAACTCGAAAAGCAATACTAAAAGCAACAAAGAAGCTTTGATGAAGTGCAATTAATGTTTGATCTCTTTTAAAACAATATAACCTGAGCAGAGTATTAAGGTGGGTGAGTAGTGCAGTGAGTATAATGTATAATAATATGATTAAACTAAAATGTTCATACCAAAAAACTTAAAGTTGTTATCTATATAACAGTTCCTGGTATTAAATAATACAATAACATAAACAATAATAACATGCTCCATTTTTCTTGCAGACAAACGTACAATGAAAAGAAATTTACGTTTCCATTACTGTAGCTGGGTACTGTCTATTGATGTGAATTTGGCTACCTACACGTACATGTATATGACGCCGGCCACATCTAACCTAGTACAGATAAACAACACAAACACACATATGCTGAGATTGCGCTTTAAGGCCTACCAAAGAAAACTTTCCCACTGTGCAGAAAAACGCAGAAAAGCCCACATTAATCGTGGAAATAGCAACATAAACATAATACCTCGCTACTGAAACAGTGAAAACGGCAACTTTAAATCGCTAACACTGCATCATAAAACGAGGAGCCCGCAACTTCGATTTTGCGCATGCGCACATGGAAGAGGAAGTCTCGACCGCATGTTGACATTTTCCAGCTTGGACAAAAGTTACATTTCTTTTAAAGTATTTCTGTTGTGTTATTTGTCATTTATCATCATGATACTTGTGTGCACACTTGTTTAGTTTACTTTCCATCTGTATGAAACAACTGACAGCCATTATTTCGACATATTTAATACTTTTTTACGCCGAGGTATGCATTCACGGTTGCTCGGAAATTGGAAAGAAGCCCGGATCGTAATGCACATGCGCAGTAGAGGTCAAAGTTCGCTGATTACTATGAAAGCTATGAAAATGTTGCAGTTTCATAGTTTTTCGTTGCAGTTTTTACTGTTTCAGTAGCGAGGTAATGTGTTTATGTTGCTATTTCCACGATTAATGTGCGCTTTTCTGCGTTTTTCTGCACAGTGGGAAAGTTTTCTTTGGTAGGCCTGTTACTGGTGGTGGTGGAATACTGATGTTGACTGGGTTGACACTGTGTCATTGATACCAATCAGTCACAACGCTTGCCGACTGACTAAAAAAGGTTGTAATATTAGACAAGAGACAGGCAGAGGCGTTGAATTGCCTCCCTTGAAAATAGTACAGTGGATAAAAGGAACGCATGCACACGGTCCCGACGTCCTCAAAGCACTGGAAGAGAGAATTCGCGACCTGGAAATGGCTGCGAAAAACTCGTAGGTAGTACCACGACCGTGTCAGGTAAGACGAAATGTTTTGTTGTCAAATAACGTTTAATGAAATTATTTACTTTACATACAGAAATCCAGATAGGTAAACAAGCTAATCTCTCGAATTACAGTCATTGGTATTCGTCACTGTGCATTATTTCCATAGACTTGCATGTTAATTTGGTGCAGCTAGAAAAATGTCTTAAATTTATTTGATATCTGTTTGATTTTGTTCATATTGTGCACATGGGTCATGAATCATCTCAGCTATAAAGACATAATTTCTGTTTTATTTTCAATTCAGTATTTCAAGAATGACCACACTTTGATTGATGCGTGTCATGGTTATGACAACTATTAACATGGCGGTCTATGGGGAAAGAATACACAAGGTTGTATATATATGTTGCTCATGTAACTACAATGGGGATAATACTTGAAGGAACATTACATGGAAATTATGTATCTGTGACCAAGATGATTTCCTAACAACCTGCAAAATTAGACAACCAAATAAGGAAAACTGAATGAATGAAAATTACACAGCTACACTAAAATAGCATGCAAGGCTATGAGAATTTTGCCGACTGACGAATAATACTTAAGTCCCGATGACTGTATAAACAGTTTTGCTCGAACTATTTTCAAAGGTTGGTGAAGTAAAATAAAAATATACTACAATTTTGAAAAATATAGCAAATAGATTATATATTATTGGATTTGTTATATTCATTTAGGCTGTTGTGAGAAAACATTTGTCACTTAATTACTCCTGGAGGAATGATCACCCTTGCTTACTGAAGCTATGTGTTTAAGGTACTACCAAACATAGACATAATTTCACTTTGAATATTTTATTATTATGCTTCCCTAGATACATTTTCACAAAATGAACCATACTAAATTTAAATTTGCAAATGGATTTGAATAACCGTAAACTTAATCATGATTTCAAATTGGACCAAATAAAGCTTAACTTCACACCAGTGTGAAATTGCAATCAAACTGACCCCTTGATTTTACAATACCGTAATTACTCCAAGGTTATGTCACATGAGATAACTAAACTTCATTCATCAGGATGTTTATGTCAGGCCGTTCACTTACTGACTGCATAACTTGAAGTGATAAATCTGTAGTTTGCTTGCTAGTATAAATGTCACTGTTGTTTTTTTTTGTAAAATTGAATGAATGAATGGGGAAATGCAAAGAAAAAGTAACGTGTTATTGTTGTTTTTTTCAGCAAAGCTGATGATGAGGAGTCTGGAGATTGTATAATGACCAAGGATGGTCAGCAGGGACCTGTGAAGGTAATTTGACCTATTTGTAGTGACTTTCATTATAAACAGTAAATAATATCCAATTAATAGTGTAGAGATTAGAGTTTATGGATGTCAACGTCCTTATCATGTGAAAACATGTTTAGAGTGAATGCTTACCCCTTTGTCAGGTGTAAGCATTCAATTCAAACATTGTGTTTTCACATAATAAAGACATTGACATCCATAAACATTCATGTCTTGTATTATTCACTTCTAAATGCACCTCAAAGACTTAATGGTGTAAACATACAGTCTCTACTGGGTGAATATACTTGTGTCTTCAACAATACAAACTGTAAGAGATTGAATATAGCAATTTGATGAAAGCCTATTACTAGTACCATTCTTACTACAGTGGAAACCGCCTAAGTAAAGACCGCTTAACTAAACATACCGGATAAGTAAACACTATTCTTTGGTCCCGGCAAATTTCTTCATTAATTATCATTATTAGAGTCCAGTTAACTAAACTCGTGATAAGTAAACAATACCGCTTAACTAAACGTTTTTTCACGATCCCTGGAAGTAAATTCCTTAACAAAAGAAACCGGATAAAAAAAGTAGCGATCACCACATAATCCGACAAGAGGGGTACGTGTCAGTCTCCGGCTAAACAAACATCCTACTTACAGCTCGCTGGCGTCATGCAGTTGACAATACACTGACAACTGGAAGCCAGCCCTGATAAGTTGTTCATTGTTTTATGTAGCTTGCGAGTATCAGTGATTAGACCAATCAGCAATGACAGTGAGTTTATCCAGTTTACATGGTGAATGACATGAAGCAGGCCGGCATTACGGTCACGTGACAAGTAATAAAATCTCGGGGCGGCGAAATAGGAATAAGATCAATTGGAAAAAATGCTTGTTTATTTAACACAAATGCTATCGTATAAAACAGAGGGAAAAATTGTATCGTCAGTCTATTTTGGCACTTCTTGTTAAGTCTCTTCCCACAGAGTACACTGCAAACAAAAAGGCTTGGATGACATCAAGCATTTTCCAAGATTGGCTAGTTAAGTTGGATGAAAAAATGCACCGGAAGTGGCAACGAATTGTTCTTATTGTTGACAACTGTCCAGCCCATCCTGATGTAGACAATCTGAAGGCCATCAGACTTGTGTTTTTGCCTCCGGAACACAACATCCAAGACTCAGCCGATGGACCAAGGCATCATCAACAACTTAAAGGTCCACTACAGAAAGCAGCTGATGACCAAGTTCATCAATGCCATTGACAAGAAGGAGTCTGTAAGCATAACAGTCCTTGATGCCATGCAACATCTACGACAGGCTTGGGACTGCGTCCAACCCCAGACAATCAACAAGTGCTACTTGCATGCAGGCTTCAAGATCTCTGACCAGACCAACAACCAAGTTGATGATGACAGCGACCCTGAGGATGATGTGCCCATTGCCACCCTAGTTGTTAACAACATCACTCTTGCGCAGTATGCCAGTGTGGATCATGACTTGGTAACCAGCTGCCCTGCCAGTGAGCAAGACATCGTCCAGAACATTATCGATTCCAGGACCAGGACCCAGCTTCTCAGTGACGCATTTAAGATGAAGACGAAATGCCCCCTCCTCTACCACCTACTCTTGATGCCACAACAGCAGCCCTAGAAATCGTCAGGCGTTATGTGATATCACAAGACGACGGACACAGTGTAATGACAGGCTACTTACATGGTGGCCAACTATGTTGCAGAGAAGGAAATGAAGAAATGTTTTACAAAGAGACAATCCCTCACAACAGCTTTGTGGAGTAATAAGTTAGACTGTTAGGCTAAAATATTTTGTTTCATTATGTTTGATTTTTATTACTTTGTATTATAAATGTATTACTATTTAACTCAATGAAATTTTATGGAATAAAACATGTCATATTACTTACAAATGTTGTCTGTTGTTCTGTTGTATACATATACATGTACATTGTACATGCATATGGTTGTCATTCCCGGTTTTGATAAGTTTGATAGAAATACCTGATAAGTAAACAATTTTGGCGCGTCCCTTGAAATTTTACTTATCAGGTTTATACTGTATATAGAAAATGCAATAAATGTTCAGATATATAGAACATATTACTACCTCTGGTCTGGGAAGCACATAACTCCAGAGCACATTTAGTATAGATTGTGTGTCCTCTTTAGAAAATAAGATATTTCATTCGGTCAATGAAGTGTGATGAATTGCATAATTTGAGTTTTGAGAAAACCAGTCCAAAGTGTGATTGTTCAGTTTAGTTCTTTTTTATTCAAACTTCCTTTTGGATTACTTATTTTAAATCATCCTTGGCATTGTCAGTTTTTTGTTGATAAAGTTTGTGTAATATATTAAAATAACCTAGAGATTCGTTATTACCTGCCATTTTCAGAAACCTGCACAGCACCTAAACAGACTTGCATCTATCGATTGGCCAGATAGACGAAAGAAAAAGGTAGCGACAACACTCACCATAGACATGACATCACCAGTCGTGGAGTGACTTAAGATGACGCCAATTACATGTAGTTGCATTCCGGCCCCTTTGTCTGGGAGTCCAGCAAGCTTAGGGCATACACAACAACGACACTGGACTTGGAAAGAATCTACACCTCCACTGCTCTCGCCAAGGCCAACATGAGGATGAGGATGAGGCATCCAACGAAAGTAACAGAGGGATCTCCACCGAGGGATGCCCCTAAGTGGGCTATAAACTAACTGACCAACTCTTGCAATTTAATTATCCCCCGCAACACGCTTTATGGGGTATTAAAATGCACTCTG